CAGTGAGAGGGGAGACCAGTATGTTTGCATGTATGTATATAAAAAAATATTTATTGGACCAAAAAGTAGTGGGTAGGCACTGTGGCCAATGGTAATCAACTATTACCACCTTCGCATGGTTGTAAGCCATGCAGAGTCCGCAGAATGCTCCGGAAGCAGTGTCCGGAGGATGCATCCGACTAGGCAGAGCATACTTTGAACTGCCATCAAATTAAAACTTAAGAAAGTTTTATTACATGGCAGTTGAGAAGTGCATGTACATAAATTTCATTAATTTAATGAAGGAAATTTTTGCACATGCAGCAGTACATAGCATGCATTTAGGCGCCTGGTGTTAGCAGTCGCGTCTAAACAAAATTATTAACTTTAGTCTTTGCTAATGCCTTAGTTAAAATGTCAGCCAGCTGTTTTTCAGTTTCTACGTAACGTACATCAATAGAACCCTCATTCTGCATGTCACATGTATAGAAATACTGAGTGTCAATATGCTTTGTACGCTTTGAAGACTCCGGATGCTTAACCAATGTTATGGCTCGTTGATTGTTGCAATTTACAGGAGTGGAAGTTTTGCATTCGCTATTTAAGTCTGCGATCAGCTTCCTCAGCCAGGCTATTGCCTTTGTAGCAGCGCACAGAGCAAAAAAATCAGCTTCTGTTGTTGAAGTTGCAGTTACAGTTTGTTTGCTCGAGCTCCACAAAATCGGACTGTGTTGAGAATGACAATCCATCCTGTCGTACTACGCCTATTTTCGGTATCTCCTGCCCAGTCGGAGTCACAATACATTTCTAGTTGCGTACATTCAGAACCAATATCGTATGATATACCCTGTCGCACGTTCCTTGTAGATACCTAAAAATTTGTTTAATACCTTGCCAATGATTCTCAACAGTTGAGTTCTCAAGAAATCTACTTAGTACAACCATAATGACTGCGATATAGTGTCGAGTACACACCATTAAATACATTAATGATCCAACAGCTTCACGATGCGAGTACTTCCCTTCATTTGCGGTGTTTAGTTGCTTTGAATAATGTATACCTGTTTCTGCTGGCGTCTGTGCAGCGCGACAATTGTCATGATTAAATTTTTCTAAAATTTGTTTGTGCAAACCCGTTGAAATACTTTATGCTTCTTATCATTCTTCATTATCTGCATTCCAACGAAAAATTCTGCTGGTCTGTAAGTGATTTCAAACTCATCATCACCACGCATAGCTACCTCTAAGTTAATTGGTTCCAAAGCGACACACAATTCTGCATCAATCGAGATATTATTGCCCCAGGCTGCTGCTTAGCTGCCCTTCTAGTACTGTATGGGTTTCGATAATACATAGGCATCCTCGGATTTTTTTCGCATTGCTTCGACATCACTTCCCGCATCACTACCACTTTTATTTTTTTCTACAGCAATGTCCACCATTTCATTACACTCATTTTGCTTTTGCTCCGTTATGTAATTCCAACTCTCTTTTTTCTGTTCGCCATGTCATATATGCGATAAGCTTTGCTGTCATCATTGTATCCAACCATTATACATTTGATCGAATTCCGCTCCCACTTCGTTCGCTGTTCTTTCGGTACATGTACGAAAGCTTGGCAGCCAAATACTTTTAAGTGAGCTACTGTGGGCTTGATGCCAAACCATTTTTCGTAGGGGGTGCAGCCACCAATAACGTCAGATGCAATGTGATTTCTTAAAAACACCGCGGTATGTGTGGCTTCTGCCCATAAATAGGTTGGTAAGTTCCTTTCGTGCAGCATTGCTTTAGCATGTTCTACCACAGTACGATTTTGTCGTTCAATGAAACCATTTTGTTCCGGTGCCCTTGGAGTAGTCACCTCATGCTTCACACACTGTCTCAACAAGAAATTGTCTACTTCCGCATTGCAGAACTCTAGACCCCCATCTGTTCTCAACCGTTTAACCTTGTGGCCATCTGCTTGAACATCTGCAAAGAACGTCATTCGCTTTGATAAAACATCAGTTTTATTTTTAAGGAATTATTTTCGGAAAGCTCTTACGATGATGATTGCCATATGCACACCCCTCGCAGAAAGGTATTTCTGTTAAGAGCCCGGATATTTGCAATCCGTCTGCCGTTGTCTTGCACATCATTTCTTTTAATGTGTTGAAGTTGATATGTCCCATACGCTGATGCCAAAGCATTATTGATACTCTGTATTTAAAGTTGCGTCCAAGACTGGAACCATGTTCATCGTATATAAACGATTTCCACGCACGCCGTCAACTATGACTCGATCAGCTCTCATTAGGCAAACGCGCTTTGCACCCTCTTCGAACACGACTCTCATACCTTTCTCGGTTATTCTGCTAACAGACAAAAAAGTCCTATCAAGTTCATGCACCAATAGCACATCTTTAATTGTATGAATAAACTTTTCCTGATTCATTGCATACACTTCAATATCTCCGATACCGCAAACATCCACCCTTCGACCGTCACCAACTTTTACCTGGCATGCACTAGCAAAATATGTTTTTAATTTACTTTGTGTGCTATTCCTTTGCAAGAAAAACAAGTATGTATTTTCAGCATTCTTTTGTTTGGAGCTATTTGAACCGCTAGATTTCAAACCAGTTTCTCTCTTTAGAGCAAGTGAGCTTCTCATTAGATTTGCTATTTTGACTATCGTGTTGCTTTTTAAAGCATTCTCGTGCCCAAT